ATGATAATTGAATATTGTTGATAGATTCTATATATAGTGAATATATTCGCTTATTGTATTGTGATAATTGAATATTTTTCACACATTATGGATATATATCAATGGTTTCTTTACGCATCAATATTGTGACTTGTTGTATTGCAATAATTGGAACTTTTTCACAAATTTTAAATTTCTTTAATTGAATATTCGTAACTTTTTTTGTTTAATTTATGAAATTATTATATCACATATTTTTCCTTCTTATTGTAAATAACTTTTTGTTCGATTAAAAATTATTTTTAATTCTTTTTGTTCGATTATAATTTTATATTGACAAAAAATAACGTTTTGTTCGGTTTAAATTTTATATTAACAAAAAAAAAATGTTTGATAAATTACTTTAATTTATTAAAGCTAACCAAGTTAATCAATTTTTCTTTACATCTCCTTTTTTATGCTCGAGTAGGATAACGAAAAATAGAATTTTTCTTTTGTTGTCATAAGTAAGAGCTTCAAAATACATAATTTATAATTTTTTAACCTGAAATTTATTTTATTTTCACATACATAATCACACACAATCATACATATGTTCACATATTATTGAAGCTAATTGAGTGAACGAGTGCCGAATTTTTATGCTTTACAAAAATATAAGGGACGCTAACATTTATATTAAAACAATATATTTCTTGGCATTCCACTAATTTCTTGACATATGACGCGTAGTTCTCGATATTAAATGTCTTCTAATCTAAACACTTGAGATTACATTTGTATAGAAAGACATTTCAACTAAAGTATAGTATTTCTCTACATTTCATTAGAACATTGACATCTCCTAGTCCACTATAGGAGATAATAAAGTTATAAACTGTTTTCAACATACAACCTTCCAAACATGCCACAAACATATAAACCACAAGTTTACATCCACAAAATATTACATACCACCATATAAACAAAAATATGCAAACCACTGTGTAAATCAAAATACATATTACGTACCACGATATAAACCAAAATACACATTGAAAAACCACCATATAAACCAAAATATGCGAACCTCTAAATTCAAATGAACCTGAAGTTCATATCCAATCATCATTATGTGCCGTCAACCAAAATATATAGATTACGCATCCCTCTTACCCCTCTTGCGATCAGATCGGGTATATAACGTCTTTGTGTTCGCACTAGCCTTCTTCAACCTCAACGATCGAGGTCTACATGTAGGTGGATCAGCTGCCATCGAAGGTCTAAAAACGACGCTATCATGAACCAGCTGATCATCAACGATCATACCAACTGTAGGTACAATGGCTGGTGCCTCTTTCACAATATCACAAGCAACGTATACTGACCCAAGTACTCCAATCCCACTTCCGGACGTTATGGACACATCAGGGATATTGCAAACAACTAGTTCGGTTGCCTCTCCGACATCCTATCTGTCTGCAAAAATATTGGGAGTTCAAACATCATGTCTAGGCTCGTCTCCACCACGATCATCGTGACTAAATCCACCATACTCAGCAGCAACATTGTGTTGCCTAATTTCTGTAGCAACTCCATCAAACCTTTGTCGAACCACGTTGATCTCATCGGTGACATGATTTCTCAGACCACACACATAACCTCCCAGATCATTTTGGAGACTAGTGAATCTTGTGTTCATCTCTTCCCTCAAATCGCCCATCTTGCTCTCAAATGTCCCCCGTTGTTCGTTCAATATAGCTCTTATCTCATCTAAAGACACAAGCCTTTCGATGATCGGATCCCTATGCTCTTCTTCTCTGCCTTCAACGTGTTGCAAACCTCGATGACGAGGTCCACATGCATTGCCTCTCTGGGATTTATTTGATCGATGATTGTTGTCATCGTTCCGTATGACATCATCTTCAACTGGACAAGCCTGTATTTCTATTGATTAAGTAACAAGACCATCTAGAATAGGGTTAGCTACGTTTTTCAACGGAACTAGATCAACGAAGTACGGCTGTAGTCCTTCTGCAACAGTTGCTCGTAGCGTTACCCACAAGTGCACCTACATGGGAAGGAAAAATAGGGTAAATGAAATATTATATATAGTGAAAGTATAAGGCAATTACATATGTAAACTGCTTACATCTATCTTCTCAAAAAAATCTGAATATGTTCGGGAATGAGGTTGTTTCGTGCCAGACCACCGAACATCCTCGGGATATCGTCACAAGTCTTACTTGAGAATCGAGCTCCCAACTCTGAGATTACCTTGTATGCCCAAATCTGCGTGACGTTTATAACAGTAATAATCATATTTGGATGTAAATAACAATGTGCGATGAAAAGAACTGAAATGAACTAAAATAGATATATACCTAGACAGCAAGGGAGAATTCGTACAACGTGTAAGTCATCCTATCACAATCATTCACTTTTGTCATGTCCGCCTTTCTTCCCCATCCACTAGCAGTGATTTGACGAGAAGTTGAAAACATACCGTCCCCCATGGGTAGGCATTGAAGAAATCCAAGTTGTCAACGATGGAGAGAGTTGTTGGATGTATTCCTACATTTCGATCTCTTGAATTAAATACCCCTTCAATAATCAGTGTCAACTCAAGCTTGTAACAATCGTTACGGTTGACACATTTCAAAAAAACTTTCTCAAGGTCACTACAAGTTATCCAGTCCATATTAGCAAACATTCTATCCTGTAGACGGGTTTTCTCTAGGATTTTGTCAATTTCGGTACCTTTAGGCACTGGATCGCACTTCAAGTCGATAATTAGTGCGGACTCCGGCAATCCAAATCGTGCAAACATTTTGGTTCACCTTGAACCAAGCCTCAAATCATTTTCGACAGACCACCGATCTGTTTACCATTTCATGAATTAATTGAGCGGATAATTTTAGCTACGGTAACCTTGCAACATGTCCTATACAATTCTTCTCCAACTGACGCTTTTGTTGTGGATCCAATTTGTCGAGGACAATTGATATGTATTTTGTGTTGCTCACCTGTGACACATGGGCCGGAACACGTTTTTCCTCCGAAATTTTATATCGGTGTGTCATACTCATCTACAAATCAAAACAAATGAAAACAACACTTTAACAAATAGTATGAGAACGTACAAACTAAATCAAATATAGCATTCTTGTTTATAATGCAGTAAAAGAAAAATGATTTTTACAATACAATGGTTTGATAAAATACCATATCTAAACTAAGCTGTTTAATTGTTGAAATTAAAACAAACCTCGATTAATACCAAAACATTTTAAAATAGATCATGTTATTGAAGTAGAAATAGAGAATGGGTAGTTCTAAAACCTTATACCCTGCTCAGTGGCGAATCCAGCACCAAATTCTAGCTAGGGCAGAGGTTGACCATTATCCATTGACCATCGACAATCAACAACCATAATAGCCCGGTCATTTATTAAAATTTGATTAAATAATATTAAAAGTTATTCAATATATATGTAAATGAGATTTCTTTATTTTATTGAATTTATTTACAGAGTGCAATTAATTATAGGTCTTTTTCTTGCGGCTTAATCATGTGACTTAATGATATGAGATATGAAATAAGGTTTTTACAAATGGATCTTATACATATCTTAATGCTGATTCATTTAGGAGTCTGAAATGAAATAAGATGAAATAGGGGTTTTTACAAATTCCTACAGGTTGTTTGACATCCTAAATATGGCTTCTGATCTGAATGTGGAACTCTCTAAGAATACTGTCATTTAGGGTCTCAAGGTTTGGGAAGTTATTGAAATTATTCATTATTGTCACCTCATCACCATATAATTTTCTTGGAATACAAATAAACCCAACAACAGCAGATCTTGACATAGAAAAACACCCAAAAATCAAATATTTTTTCAAAGTGACCCAAACGGCCAAACCCAAGTTCCGAGTACTTCCAACTTCGTCTTCCAAGTTCCAACAGGTAATAGACAACACTGCAACAGTGAACAGTCCAAGTCAATACTCAACATTCAAATTTTTCAACATTCACAATTCACAAATCACATAACATAGATGATAAATCTTGGATGCAGTGGCATAAAACAAAAACAAAACCAAAAAAAAGGAGAGAAGAGAAATGGCTCACATTCGACAGAAAACGCTATTACGCTACCGACTTGCCGTTTCCTTCCCTTCAGCTTCGCCCAATCCCCAATCGCCGACCGGCGGCCCCTTCCTTCTCTTTCAACCACGAAATTGCCCCAGATCCCTCCCAATCGCTCTTTCAGATTTCACAACAAGTAAATGTAATCGATTTGAAATTTGAGGGTTATAAAATTGGGGTTAATTTGGGGAGAAATGAACATGAGTCTTGGGCGTGGAAGTAGAATTTCCTAATAGGGGCATTTTTGTCTAAATAATTAAAAAATGTGGACATTTTTACAAATGATTAGGTGAAATTGGACATTCTATGAAATTTCCTCATGTAGAAAATGCACAGTACATTCAATGCAGCACCGATATCATTCAGTAAGAGGATATTTCACTGCTTTTGATCAGAATGAATTTTTAGCTATGTATTGATGAAAAATTTGTGATTAGAAAATGAATTTTTTTTTTAGATTTAAGTGTTATATTATTTATTGAAGAATGTGTTATTAAAATGATGTTAAAACACTATTTAAAAATAGAATTAATCTACTTGTACAATTGTTGTTGATAATAATGGATGACAACATTGCTTTTGTCCAAATCTGATCCATTAATTTTAAAAACAATTTTTGAAATGGATGAATGTAATGTTGACAAGTATAATTGTTAATCAACATTGTAAGAAATGATTGTACAAGTAGCATGACTCTTAAAAATATCCCGCTATATTAAAAGGGGGAGTTTTTGTTGGCACTATTTCTATGGATGTGTGCCCTTTTATTTATTTTTTTATTTTTTCTCTCTCTACAACAAGACACATTTTGGATTATACAAGGGTCAAATGAAACACGCTCACTTCTTTCACACACCAAATTGACAGTCTTTCCCGTACCTTTCCTTTCCTTTCCGTTCCTTTTCCCTTTCTTTCGATGAAGCCCTCACCACTAGCTCCACCCCTGATGTGTCACCTCAACGCTTCCATTAGTCACAGAATTAATCTAAATGTCCAGGATAGAGATTCACAGAATAGTGCCAGAATAGAGATGAAGCTGGGTCCCACACGTGTATAAAAAATTGGCAACAAAATTGCGGGCCCACATGATTGTGTCTTTCCTATAAGGATTCTGTAAGCCAAGCAAAACTCTGGCGTCCACTTTGTATCATTGGCCGACGTTAACATTCGCCACCTTAACTTAACATCTCAATCGACGTCCTTCGCATCCTACGACATTTCTAATGATTCCACTGCCGGTGAGTTTCCACACATCCTCAGTCCTTTGAATTTTAGTCCAATTTTTTGAAATATTTTTGATGAATCAGAAACGCCCTTCACATCATTGGGAATTTCTAATGATTCCACTGCCAGGGAGTTTCCACATATTCTTAGTCCTTCGAATTTCAGTTCAAATTTTTGGAAATATGTTTGGTGAATTGGAAAAAGAATTCGGTTGTTTGAACTGAAAGGTTGCATTAAAGGATTGTAACACGTGATTTTGAGGCTAGGTATGTTGTTAGGCCGAACTTTAAAGGGAAAAAGTGCTGGTATAATTGTAGGCCCAGAATGTAAAGCTATGTTGCAAGAAATTACATTGTTTGTACTTTCTTTTCAAGTTTCGTCAATATGGATAGGTCTTAATTGATACTAACATTTGCAGGATCATCGTCAATTTGGGCAGCGATGCTATGAGTTCCTTGACCACTTCCCTCATGATGGGCCATTATTTTTGAAAATATGTTGAGAATCTACCAATGGGATACCTAATAGTCATATCGGCGTAAGTTGATAATTTACCTGTGATTTGTTTTCCCCCTTTCACTGGATTCAAAGAAAATATGTGAGAATTAATATTTCAGTTTATTTTCCATGATGTTTAATATGCTAAATTTATAACTCTCCATCAAAGAAGTGCAGCAAGTTAATTGTAGGAATTGAAGAGTAAGATGAGATCTTGTAACACAAATTCACCGAACTCTGGTTTGCAATATTTAAAATGGATAATGATAAATTTCAAACTAATCAGCCCCTCTCTCTCCTTATGCCACGATTGCCATGAATATTTTTAAGTTTTAAGAGTGCCATCTATCAATTTCTATTTTTGGATGCTTTTGAGGACTGTTGATATAGAAAATACATATTTATGTCCTTGCTTTGGAGTTTTATATATCCAAACTAATTGTTAACTCTAAAGCTTGTTATATGTTTCCAATCTAGCATAACAGTTGAAACAGATATGAATGGCACAGACTATTAAATTATATATTTTTGTTAGGCACTTGATGTTAGTAAAATGAACTTCAGATACTCAGCTACTATGTGCTGCATTTTGTAGGCAAAGATTTGCTAGGGTTGAATGTAAACATACTTGGGGCTACTCAAAAGCCCTCAGGAATTGAGTTGATGTTCTCACATCCATCGCATGAGTAGTTGAAGCAAGTGAATAATTTGAAATTTGAGTTATTTCATGGATATATTGAACTTATAATAGTACCTCAAAATTCACTTAGACTTGCACATGGAATGTTGTGTAGCCCTGTAAGGATTTTGATGGTAAAAAGGTAAAGAAGAAAATGTGTGTTATAATGAAGTTGTCGTTGTAAGAGATGACATTTTCCTGATTGTTACAAGTTTTTCTACAATTATTGTTTTATATTTGTAAGTTGTCATTCCAATTTTTAAGCAACCATCAACAAGAAAATGGAGGGAGGCAGAGATCCTTTCTCTGGTTTTGGTAACGCTTTCGGTTGTTTCAGTGGCTTTGGTGGCCAAAGAAGCTTAATGTCAAGGGTTTTTTTTGTTTGTTTGTTTTTTGTTTTTTTGTAGGAATGACGCACTTAATGACCCCTTGTTCACACATCCATTTAGCAACATGTTTGAGTCAAGCTTTTTTTGTTCCACTAGCAATTCATTTATGGATCCGTGTGCTGGATTTCTTGAACGTCAACCCCTCACAACTTAGTAGATCTAATGGACCAATTATTGAAGAGTTGAATATAATGATGAAAATGAAGGATGATTTTTTTCTTCCAAAGATGCATTCTTTAATTCACGCTGGTTGATAGTGACAATTGTAGCGGTTTTTGAGCCTTCTTTGATGACCTATCACTGTGTATACAAGATCCTATGAAGTACATCAATTCATTTTGAATAGGATTCAAAATAAGATGCATCCAGGCACAGCAATCAATGGATACTTACTGCTTCTCATTAGAACCTATTGGAAAAAAGGTTTTGTTTTACAAGTATTTATTACTTATTTGATATCAATGCTCAAGTGCTACCTTATCACAAGTCTTTTTATATTATTTTTGCCACCTATCATTAGATGTCTTTGTTTATCATTTTTACGAGTTTCACGCTTCATCAAATAGGAAATTGTCAGTCAGATAAGATAATTGTATTGGGCGGTGCCTGCTATTATTTACTATACAAAAGTAATCTGTCCCTATTAAACAAGCCTAGAAAATAAGGTCGTGGTTGGTTTGTCATTTTCGGCCCATTTTCCGTTTTCCATTTTCGAAAACGCGGAAAACGCGTTTGGTCCGTCGTTTGAAAAACGTATTTTTGAAAACGAGTTAAAATTTATAACTGAAAACACAAAATAACTTTTTAGCGTTTTCAGTTATAAATGTCGAAAACGCTCAAAATGCGGAAAATGAGCGTTTTCGGGGAAAACTAAAAATCTTTTTGAAAATGAAAATGGAAACCAATCATGCGTTCTCTTTGTGTTTCAGTTTTATATTTTGAGTTTTGAATTCGTTTTGGGTTTTGTGTTTTGAGTGTTTGTTTTGAAATAGTTGAAAATACGTTCTTTTCGTTATTTTGAAAAACCGTTTCTCAAAACAACAAAATGGAAAGCATGCTTACTTTGAAATTTTCTATACCACGACGACAACACCGCACCACCAGACAACACCGTCGCCACCATCAACATTGCAGAAATCAACCAAAATCAACCCCACTGCCACCTCCATGAACCGTCAACCACTGTTACTAGCACCACCAATCTAATGCCAACCGAAATGAACACAACCACTGCCTGACATCGCCACCACCACCACCACACAGCACCACTGCGGTCGCCACCACCAAAATCAACACAACCACCATTGCACCAGTCACCACACTGCACCAACCGACACATCAAAAAATAAGAAAATCAAAAAAATCCACAAATCAGTAGATTACCCGCCTGGCTTGATTCGGCCCCATTGGTTCAAAATTGGTCATGACCCATGGGTTTATTGGTTGCGCCATGATGAGGCAATGCTAGGTTTGGTGGTCCGCGGTCGTGAGTCGTGTCGCCGACGTTGAAAATCGAGGTTGCAGTGTCCGAGTTCGCTGTTGAATAAACACAGCTGGAGAGTTGGATTCATCGATGAATAGGTCACTACCATCAACCACGTCGCGAGGAACTGCATCTTCTCTGTCCAAACCATTTCCAGGCAAGAGAGAGAGGTAGAGACGGGAGTCTTCAAAATGGATGCATTTTCCGCTTTTTGAAGTTTTCCAAGTTTTCAACAGAAAACGTCCAAAATGATAAAAACATCGTTTTCTGATTTCTGTACAATTTTATTTTTGTTTTCAAAAACGCATTTTGGATAACGGGAAAGAGAATGCATTTTCGCCATTTTGGAAAATCGAAAACAGAAAACGGTCCGAAAATAGCAAAGAGAACGCACTAGCTTCCAATCAAATCTCTTAATATTATTTTGTAGCCTATAATCATTTCATGTGCTTAAGTTTGACGTAATCAATGCATAACACATAATGCCCTTGTTTGAGCCACATTTTTCAACTAAAATAGATTTTTTAACAGTGATTTGATATCATTTCAGTTACACATTCTTCAATAAAATAATACTATACGCAAATAAAAAAAATTTCCTTATTTTTTAACCACACATTTTCTATCAATACACTATTCTAAAATTCATATTCTTCACAAAAATGAGGCTCAAACGAGGGCAATATTTTTTGTATCTACTCGATTATATAGTTAATTACATTATGGCACGTGCGTCTCACTAGTAATTTTTACAAAGAATGAGAATCAAACGTGTGCTATATAAAAAATGGAATGAGAAGGTACTATAGTTATAATAGTGAATTCTTTCATACTATAACAATTTTTTTCAATCATATGACTAAAAATGACGTCGTTTTGATTTCAATTATTTTCGTGATTCTGACATTTTTGCTTTTCCTCAATTCATGCATAGCACTTCTTTACCTTTTTTCCATTTTCAAACACTACAGCCTCTTTACTTCTTCATTTTTCCACACAAATCACCCATTATTTCTTCTTCTCACTAAAGTTCACTGGATTCTTTTTTCCTTTTTCCCTCTATATGTTCACTGGATTCTTTTTTCCTATTTCCCTATATATATATATATATATATATATATATATCTTTGTTTTATTATGATAAAATATAATTTTTTCAGTATTAATTAATTAATATTTAATTTTGATTTTAATTATTTCAATTTAATTTAAAAAATTTATAATAACTTTTTTTTGGTTTTATTTTCCATTTCTTTTTTTTTTTTATCTATTTTTACCTACAATTACAGTACAAAACAATATTATTTCTCTGTGTTGAATGGCAAAACAACGTCGTTTATTTCATTAATATGATAAAAATATTGAATGTATCTTATATATAATTATAAAAAAATATTAATAATTTTATTAATGATAATTAAATCTTGATCAATGTATGTTATAATCGACTCCCCTCTACCAACTGATTGTTCAAACGGTAGAAGTACTATTTGCTATAAGGGGCGTTTGTTTTCCATTTTTGTAAAAATGATAATGAAAAATATAATCGTTATGGGCCTCACACAAGAGTTAGAAATTCAAATTTGGTGGCTTGATGTGATGGATAACGGTAATATTTTTCATTTTAATGGAAAAGTAATGGAGAACAAATGGGGGCTAAGTAAATAAATTTAAATTTTTGGACGAATTTGCAATCATGATATCTAAATTATATAGATGATTATGTTTTACATGCAAATTAATTACTCTTATCATTAATGTAGTAGAAAGATAGCTAATTTTATTTTAGCACTTTGAAGTGTGGATATCTTGAATTACCCAAGTTATAACATCTCCACATATCCTATCAGTATCTAAAAAACTAAGCAAGTTAATAAGAAAATAAAAAGAAAAATTAAATGAACAAAAGAAATTCCCTTCTGCTGAACCTTCGTTACACAATTTTGCTTTGGGAAAAGTTCAAAAATCAGGTGTTAAGTATGACACAATTCAATTCTCAAGTCTCAAGTTTAAAAATTCAGAACTCAGGTATTGATTAATTAATTAAATATATTTATTATTTAAATATAATAAGATCACAGTTGCACAACTAATAGTCACAGATATACAATTATAGGTCACAAATGATTTTATTGGTCACATATTATAAAATTAATTGGTCACATATTATGTCGAGGTCACAAATAAAAAATTCAACAGGTTACAGATTGTTTCATTGGTCACAGATAAAAAAAATTATAGGTCACAATTAATCCATCGGTCACATATTTACAAATTTGTTGGTCACAAATTATTTTTTAGTCATATATTATCGAATTTTAAGGTCACAGTGGAATAGTCACCCCACCCACCCGCACACATACACCCCACACCACGCACACACACAATCACAACCACGCCATTGTCGTCGCGATTTGAACTTTGAAGCTAAATTCCGGTCGATTGGGGGCATTGCAGGATGAATTAAAAGCATAGCTGTGATCGTCTGGGCAAGGGCTATTGGCCGGCAGTGGTCCGTGACCATGGGTATCGCCGGAGCCACCAAAATTGGATGAAAAAGGCTGCGTTTCAGGGGGCAGCGCAGGCGGACAGGAGATCTGCAATTTCGATTGATTGGGTGGCTTATAGGATGAATTGTGACCATGTTTGGGATCATCTGGATGTGGGCTATTGGCCGACAGTGGTCCGCGACCATGGGTGTCGCCGGAACAGGAGAATCCGGTTGAAATAGAATGCAGCAGTTCGAAACTTTGGCCGTGATTTTCTGCAAATTTCGGCGAGTTGGTAGCCGGTGGTTAGGTGGAGGTTGTAGAGGGCAGTGAGGTCAGTCTATTGGTGGTTGGGTCCGGTGGCCAAGGTGGCCGGAAAGTGGTCGGTGGCACTAGAGTTGTGGTCAAATGGAGAGAGAAATGAATGAGAAAGGAAGTGACGAGATTGATTTGGGGAATTGATTAGGGTTTTTAATTGAATTGGTTGAATTAACTATATATAATACCTGATGTTTGCATAGATAAATTTTATCCCTGAACTTTGAATTTGAACTTTTAAGTGCCTGGTTTTATGTAATTTCCTCTTTTGCTTTTGTAAATTCAATTTCGCATTCAAGGCACAAGCCTAAAATGATCCTTTGTCCCTTGAATTTCAGTTTAGTAAATAAAGCCACTCTAGATATCTAGAAATTAAACATGATACTCTTTATTATTCTTCTCTTGCACAGAAACAAAAAGCAAAAACCCAATAAGAATATGGACGTTTGAGAATTAAACTTCTCTTTATTATACCTTTCCTTTGACTTGACATAATGATTTAAAAAAAAAGGTTGAACCCCAAACTTGAGGGTCCCTACCGTCTCATCCTTACCCTAGAGTTTTATGAAGGATGTGAAACGTGAGATGTGTTTCAGCAAGTTAGAAAATAAGAGCTGTCTGTACACCGGACCTACAAGGAGTCCAAAGTATGTCTCAGAAATTGAACTCTCACGTTGCGGCTTCGCATGAGATAACTTTACTCATATCTTTTGCACCACTG